CAGTTGTGATTGGACACTTTGAAAAAAACAGCGATGTTGTGAAATTTGCGCCAACCAGCAGCTTTTCATCTTGAATTTTTCGACTGAATCTGCGGCATCCTGTTGCTCTCGGCACAGAATAAATGTATTTAGCAACTTCTTCCAAGAGTTTGCTTTACAGTAATCTTGCAGACAAAACACTGGGAAGCAACGGTCGCACCAGCAACTGCTGTACGATTTCCTTCTCGGCGTCGTTTGAAGCGCTCAACAACAGCGGCCACTGAACCACTTAGTTCTTCCGGAACAATAGCCATCAGTCTTGCCGATGTCCGGAAACAAGGCCAGCTCATGCACCAGGTTTCCCTAATCCGATCACTTTATTGTTAGGAGCTGTTGATTACTTCTTTCAGTTTAAGATAGCGATAAACAAATTAGTTTTTTGTAATTCGGAAATGTATCCCTCAATTTTTTGCATTTACAGGTCTCCATTTCTTCCTCCCGCTCCCCTCTTCTTTTTCCCTTTCTCCCTCTCTTTGTCCCTTCTCCTTTTCCTCCTGGGCAATAAGCGGGCCTGAACTGAGACAAAAAAATAAGTTTGTCTTTTACTGAGTATTAAGCGTTGTGCTTGTATTGCTTTTATTAGCTTTTACTGGCCTTTTAATGCTACATGGATCAGCAATAATTCACAGTCTGGTTCATCATTTGTAAAACTGGCAACCTTTTCATTTGGTTTAGCCAACGCTGCTTCTCCTTGTGGTCAACTTGCTGGCTGTCCTGACGTTTTTTTGTCCTTTGATGAGAATGCAGTCATTAGCGGTTCTCTCGCAGGAAGTATTTCTGAGATGTCAGTGGTGTGCGTTGAGTACCACCACCTTGTCTTGAACTTGTCATTCGTAGACCACGATGATACCTTGTGGAGGCCATTTATAAGATAAAAACAGTTCCTATCTGAGAGATTGATTTGATAAGAGAACACATTTTGTGTTCAAAATTTAAAATACGATAGACAGGTAGTTGAACGATGGCTGTTTTATCTGAAATTTATTGCTTTCGTTTGGAATGAACACCTATCTTAATTATTTCAGTATCTTGGTCAGCTGCAACTATGCAGCTATCAAGCTTTCTAGTTGTTTTGACCAATGCTTCTAGATCAGTTTGCTTTCGACTTTGACGTTCGTTTTGTCTCCTGAATGGATTGCTAGTCCAGCAGCAGTCATTTGAGAAGTGAAGTAAAAGTTTAAACACGTAAAATTTTACAAAAATTTAGACAGAAGAATCTTCCACCAACACTTTTTATGCGTTTTTTTGCAGCAATGCAATGCGAAAAACGCATATTTTATGCGTTTTTTGCAGCAATGCGATGCAAAAAACGCATATTGACGAC